AAGGAATGTAAAACATTTTTGTTTAAGATTCAAGTTACACGATGAGAAGACTTCTAAACATGCCAAGAAAATATTCTTATTAATTAAAAATATTCTATTTACATAATTCAGTACTTAATTATTAATAGTTAAGATTAAACTCCCTTTTTTATTTTATCGTTTCAGAGGTGTTGTTAGATTTTCTTTGATTATATTATGAATGTAAAAAAAAAATAAACACGCTGAAAGTTTTCTACAAAATTTAAGTGCAACAACAGATTAAGTTCTGATGTAATTTTCTCTTCCATTTTTGTTTTCACTTAAATGCTCCTAGTGCAACAAATACGTTGGAATTATTGCTGATCAAATATGATCCCATTGCTCTTGTTTTGTGAGCTGGCTGACAACGCCCTAACAACGCCGTGAAAGTGCATTGTGATCGCCAACGGACGCTGTAGAAACGCCATGGGAGCGCAATGATCGCAGTGACGACTCCGTGCTGTCACCGTGTAATCGCTGTCCAAAAAATCTCAAGACTATTAATCTTATTAGAAGCGCCGTAAAAACGCAATAGAAACGCAGTGATATCTCCAAGGACTCCGCGACATCTCCGTGATGTCTCCGTGGAAGCGCAGTCTACTATCACTGCGTTCGTGCCGCGATCATGTGCGTCTTCACGGCGTTCGTACGGAGCTCCCACTACGTTGTTGGAGATCTCACCGCGCTGCTACGGCGATCATACTACGTTTCTACGGCGTTCTTATCAGACCGCGATCACACGGCGCGTACTTTGTGCATGCCCAAAGTGACCGCCGTCCCCTGGCGTTCTAGGAGACCCTTCGCGACCCTACAGCGTTCAGTGGAGATCTCGTCGCTTTGTCACGGCGCTGTAGGAGACTCTACTGCGATCACCTTGGCGTTTTGCATTTGTTGAGGACGCCGTGCTGTCGCCGTGAGGACGCAGCCCCGGTGTGACAGGGGTTTAAGGACCAGGCCCCGGGACCATGAAGCATCTAATGCTTAAGTAAAAAATGCCTTAGATGCTGAATTTTTTAGAGATCAAGCAGTCCAAAATGAAAATGTCTTCCAATTTTGTATCATCAGTCTGCTGTTGTATAGAAATTGTGAGTTTCCTTTAACAAGTTTTAAAGGTTTTAAAGATTATTGAAATTTTGACTTAAGTCTAACTCTGTTTCATTATCCCGGGGCCAGCTGTATCACTGTTGAAAAAAAAATATATGCAACATATCCTTTATTGTATTGTTGCAGAAAAAATAAATTCCAAAATAAACAAAATAAACAGACTAATTAAGAGTACATGGTTTGGTTTTGTATCTGAAATAAAAAAAAATATTTAGATCTTTGATTTTTTTCATAGTAAAAGTATTTGTAACTAGTTCATGGTCACTGATTGTAAACTTAATGTTCTAATTTATGTAAAATATATCTAAATTAAATTAAAAAAAAAAAAGGTAAACACCAGCATTAAAAGATTTAATTAGGAAAACATATACAAACCCAAAAAACAGACAACGCACATATGATACGGCTGTCTGAAGGCTTTAAATGTCTTAAAAATAAACATTTTAATTTGAGGTAGATTTTAATTTCTATACGTTATCCTTGTTTGATATTGCAGTGAACTTGAGATAACAGTTTAATTAGGTTTTATGATAAAGCATCTCTGTGACGCCAGATGACTGTGTTGACCACGTGACGGACATTCTTGATATGCTTAAATGTTGCACAAAAATCGCATCGGCACAAGTGCATAACACAATTATTGTGCAAAATTTGTTATACAGATCAATTCGTTGTGCTGGGGGAGGTTTAATTTTTCATTTTTAAAAAAATATTTTACGATAAATTAAAATTACCAACGTAAGAAGGGGTATTTTCCACTCTTTATTGCGATTTATACAGTAACAGATAAACTAAATACGATCACCCTGCAAAATGCAGTTAGAAGACATACTTCTCTTTCAGATTCACGCAACATATCTTCAATTCATCCTTGTCTTTCACTTGTGCCAGTCCATTTTAAACACGATTCTTAAATTCTAACTCTGTCTACGGAAAAGTAAGGGGGGTGTTTCAAACATAATTTTTGGCTATTGCTTGAATACATGAATATCGGACAGGCAAAAGGAAAAGAGATATTTAAATATCAAATGTTAAACATTATTACACCACACAAAGGTTAAAAAAACAAAATTATTGTTGAATTAAACACAAATCCCCATAATAAATCTGTAATAATCATGGCACTTTCCACGTCATGTCATCTCAAGTATGTAGTGACTTGAGGTCATATTCTATTATGACGTCATATCTAGGTAGTTCATAGAAGTAAGTAAAGTTTGAACAGTTTAATATTTTATTGGTAGCCTTATCATAGCTGCAAACTAGAATAACGGACGTTGCATTGATTGATTGTAATGCTTAACATCCATTCCGAGAATCAGGGAGGATGAATAATTGATTATAAGAAAAAAAATAATCTACATTTCAGTATTTATTTAGATGAACATACATGTAAAGCCCAAAGCAATGCAAATGTATCCAACAGTATATGTAACAAAATGAAAGTGGTGAATCACATAAAACAATAGATATAATGAACACATTACTTTGAAAACATCAGAACTAGGTTAAGATGCTTCAAGGATTGACTGCTCACACTTACATGAGTCCTATGAAGAGTATGCATAAAATACATAAAGATAATAATCATTAGACCCAGAAAACCTAAAAAAAAAGATGGTTCAAGTTTCCACTGCTCACATTTACTCGAGTTCTAACTTGAGTCCAATGAAGAGTATACAGTAAATGAATTATTTAAGTGAAATAGCAAACAGTCTATTTGCATTCAATAGTTTTCGATTTGTGTTTAAAAATAAAAATCTTCTAAGAAAAAAAAAGGAAAGGAAAAAAGAATTTCTTTTAAAATCGTGCAAAATTTATTACTAGACATAAAAGTGTTTTCTGAGAAATATTTAAGAATTTCACAAGAACGTTGTATCTTTTAGTTTTTCCTGATGATGAGCACTAGAGAGTTTTTCTAGAACAGTTGAAGTAGCAGCTTAAATAAACTTAAAGTGAAAAATGGTACATATACAGTAATAAATATCTTTAATATTTGAGAAGTGTTCGTGTAACGTAATGTAAACAGAATTAAAAAAATTAAATGTGAAATACATGCTTTTATTTAACCTTAGTTTTCTATTTGTGTTTAAAAAAGGACACTTCAAAAAAAAATAAGAATTTTAAGTTTGGCGCATATCAATTCAAAAACACACAAAAGGACTGTTTCTGGAAAAAACTCAAGTTATGTCGATTGTTGGATTATCACGTGTCCTTAAAATAAATAAGAAATGAAACAAAAAAATATATAAAGACCATAGATTGTATTCAAAGATAAATCAATAAATAAATATTTATAATGTCTCAAAAGTACTATCTATGTTTTATTTTATTTCATATATTTTAGTCAAAATGGAATGTCATTTAAATTTGTGACGATTATAGTTATTTTACCATAATAAAATTATATATTCCCACGATGCATGCACTTCATGATACATGTTCTAGAAATTGTAAAGGAAAAGTCCTCTAGCTAGTCATGGCACGAGCCAATACAGAAGCATTACCCTGTCCTTTGGAGTATGACTCTAATGTAGTTGAGTTTATTTCAATCATGGGAATACTGCTGCTAACAGCTGTGTATAGTAAAACACGCTTATTACGGACTTGACGTTGTTATAAACGCTATTAGTTATATCGGTAAAGTAAATAGTATATTTTAAACCCCACAGGGAACGAATTCAATAATTCAATTCATAAGTGTCAATTCATTATAAGCGTGTTCATTAGAGCATATTTTACTGTATTCTGTATGTATAATGGTACGCAGAAACAGGAAACAAAATGAAAAATGGCATAGGTTTAAGTGCTTCCATATTTGAAACAATTTGATAAAAACTTTGGAACTGTACAATTCAACAATACATATAGGATGCTTAATTTTTAAACACTTTGACTTTGTAAAAACGAACAGGGTTTAAAAAGGAAGAGCAATGTTTGTCTAATTGCTTCTAACTGTACCCTAAAAATGTCAGATAAGAATATAGAGAAATTTTGTTAGATTATAAGTATAGGAATTTAAATAAATTCTGTTTAATTCTTTTTATACAGCTGTTTATTTTCGCTTTATTTCTATTTCTTTAATACATTTAAGGCTTTATCATTACAAAATAATGATCCTCCTTATTAATTTTTTGTTTGGCCAAATTTTTGACAAGTTAATGGGGTATATATTTTTGAAGGGTTTTTTTTCTACCTTCATTTTATTATTTGTTAAAATACTAATGCACATAATATTCCACTGCACGATGTGGAAAAGGGGCATTTTAGAAATTGGCACATACATGAAAGAGCGGAGGCGCTTTTTATAGGCATTCGGTAGAAATCTTGGCGTAATTGAAAAGTGAAAAAAATTATCGACATGTCACATGAAAATTTAACATCTTTTTTTATTCATCGGGTTCCTGTGCAACAGGAAAAGAAAATATTTTCCCGAAGTCGAGCCTTGATTTCCTTAAAAATAAATTGAAAATTGGCCAGGTCAGACATTTGGTACAAAATGGTACATTTTTAAACACGTTTTTCTAAAATATTGCTATCTCTGGGTCTTCTCTACATGATTTTGAAACGTGATAATAGTGTGTTTTTTATTCAAATAAAGGAATACTTTATTTTTAAAAAAATGGAGAGAAGACCCAGAGACCACGAAAAACAGAATTTTACCCCCAAAAATCCAAATGTGTGAATGTGGCGCTTATTTATCCTTTTAAAATCACTTGTGTATGGTAAACGGTGATATGTCGGGATACCTATTCACTGCACTGGAATCAAATAGTTTTTGGTTCGAGCTTGGCTTGGTTTTTTTTATGCAAACAACCATTTTTTGTCAGTTTCGTTTTATGTACTGATGTATTCAAATTTTGAATTTGATAAATTTTCATTTCTAAGACACTGACCCTTAAAGTAGGCAAGGTTAGAGAGGGAAAACAGCGTCTTACGCCGGTTGAACCAAGATTGACCCTGCAAAGGGGAATAACATTTTGTAAATGTGAAAGTCGTCTGTTCATGTCTGTTCTATTTCGCCGGTCATGGATATAAACAAAAAAGTGAGCAAATATTAATAAAAGATCCACACATCCAAGCTTCTCTAAGGATAAGAAGAAGTTCATTCATACTGGAAGAGGTTCAATGTCTGATTTCGACATGGGAGAATTCTTTGTTTTAGATATACATGTATTACTATTTTCAATAATAATGTTTTCTGTTGTGTGGCTTACCAATGGAAAAGTTTTTTTTTCCATCTAAAGAGCATAATAAGGAATAATTACAATTAATGATTAATGGTTTATAAATTCCTAAAGAAACGTTACTTGTAACGTAGTCGAAGTAGAGAGAGAGCAAAATAGAAAGAAAGAGTTTTATTAAGTTGCTTAAAAACTTTTTATATTTACATGTACTTTCAGTATCGTAAACTTTCACTTGCTTAATATTTTGACTTCAAAGTCATCCGAGAAAAATTACATTAACTAATAAGAAAACCAAAAATATTCCTATATTCACTTCATTGTAAGAGCACTTTAACTTATTTCTATTTTTTGAGAGATACATGTACATGTGTGTAACTTTTTTACTTAAAATGCTCTTTACATAATCAAAAGTGTATTTAAGTCAAATAATCAAAATTGTGCCTCAAAACATCGATCAATAATTCTACTCATATAAAATCATTTGTATCAAATTATGAGCAATTAATTGACAAGTACATTATAAATGTATAGTACAAGTGCTGATCACCAGTAATTAAATCTAAAATTAAGTTTTAGAATCTTCTTACCAGTGGTAACAATTTTACAACCTGTGGAAACATCACACGTTTCGTTGTCACAGTCACATATCCCTTGACACAAGTCTCCATAGAAAGGATATGGACATGATTGACTACAATTTACTCCACTGTATCCTGGTAAACAGTCTAGATAATAATAATATATGTGAATAAGATTAAAACATGTTTTATGATTCAATCTAAGAAATATTTATTTTGGTTTTTACAGAAAAAAATATATCGTTTTAGAGGCGCCAAGAGATTGTGTTGATCATTAATCATTACAAATCATATCAAAACACTTTTCAGAATAAAAATCAAAATACTATGTTATCTGATTGTAGCAATCATTTCACTTGACAGGGCTCTATTAATTAAATGTTTTATCCCACTTATGTGCTCTTAAATACTGAAACTGATGAACAATTCGGTTCATGTGAACCTGAAGCACATTTGCAGCTCTGTTCTGCAGCATGTTAAATAATAAAGAGGGTTTGTGTTTGTATAGAGCATTTATTACAAATGCCAAATGAGATTACAGATTTTACAATATCAGAATGCAGCAGAAGGTGGGGCCCAAAAACATCCCACACCTTATACAAAAGAAAACTAGTACATATATTTTCTACAAAATTAACAATAAGTACCTTAAACAAAAGAAACTAGTACATCTATTTTCTACAATAACAAAAGTCATGCAATAACAATAGGCACCTTATATAAAAGAAACTAGTACATGTATTTTCTACAATAACAATAATTATGGAGGATTGAAGGGGTGGTGGTGGGTAAAATTTGTAAACCACATTTTGGAGCCGAAATTTTATTCTGATAAGGATAAGGCTAATAGCCGTTACTAGAGGACGCATAAGTATAAAACCCGGAAAACCCTTCGGGACCCATGATTTCAAACAAATTGGTAATTAATAAAAATATGCAATTTATTACGTATTTAGATCACATAAATTCCTTTATATACATAAATACACTTATGTGCTCTTAAATACTGAAACTGATGAACAATTCGGTTCATGTGAACCTGAAGCACATTTGCAGCTCTGTTCTGCAGCATGTTAAATAATAAAGAGGGTGTGTGTGTGTATAGAGCATTTATTACAAATGCCAAATGAGATTACAGATTTTACAATATCAGAATGCAGCAGAAGGTGGGGCCCAAAAACATCCCACAAGAGGGACAATGAACGTACAGAGAAGGGTCCCTCGCCCCACCCAAAAATGTGCTTCAATTACGTAATGTATACAGCTTGATAACGATGTAAACACTAACAAAACTATTCACAACATAGATCAATGGAATTCTAAGGATGGATAATAAAAATATTAACTAAGATAAAATAAATACATAATCGAAAGTCATTAACGTACCAACCAGGAATAGAATTATTGCATATCTTGACAAAAACATGGAAATAATTCAAAGAGATATAAACTATTTATACAATCCTCGATATGATACCGAACAACGAATATATTCAGTGCCGCCTAAGACAGTCACCGAATACTTCGTGTACATGTATGTAAGTTTATAAAGTGAAGACAGATAAATTCATACACAACTCGAAAGTCATTAACGTACGTACCAGGAATAGAATTATTGCATATCTTGACAAAAGCATTTAAATAATTCAAAATGATATGAAATATTAATACAATCCTCGATATGATACTCAACAACGAATATATATTCAGTGCCGCCTCAGACAGTCACCGAATACTTCATGTACCTGTATGCAAGTGTATATTAGTATAAAGTGAAGGCAGATAAATTCATACACAACTCGAGAAAGTCATTAACGTACGTAGCAGGAATAGAATAGTTGCATATCTTGACAAAAGCATTTAAATAATTCAAAATGATATGAAATATTAATACAATTCTCGATATGATACTCAACAACGAATGTATTCAGTGCCGCCTCAGACAGTCACCGAATACTTTGTGTACCTGTATGTAAGTGTAGTATAAAGTGAAGGTAGATAAACTATGCAATGTTAAGCTTTCTCATGCATTATTATGATATTTAAAGCATGAAATTGACGCTTTTATGAGGTTATAGTATTAACAATTAAATTTTAAAAAAAGATGCAGAAAAATAGAGGATACCGCCTCAGACAGAATCCTCTATCTAGGTATTTAATACATTCAAATAATACAGAATAAGGGATACTTTCTCAACCATTTATCCTTTACAATCGGACTTTCTACCACCCTAAATGAAAACATATATGTACTAATAGGCGGGAAAATAGGAACCTTAATGTTCTCTGGAATGACACCAGTTGCAACCATCCCATATCTCATTTTGTGAGTCTTAAAAACACTAAAAAATGTGCCAGGGTGTTGCTGTAGCAAAAAGGGGTCCTTTGCAGCTAATTTCACCTACTGCAATTGGGCTGGAATTTTATTTCTAGATAGACTTTTATTTTACCTAAATTGTATTGAAAGTTGATTCATTGTAAGACTCCTTTAAACTCCCTTGTTGTCGTGCCTGAAAAGGTATATTTCCTCAAAGCAGCAAATATGGGTTTGAGTCTGAATGAACCGCGATTTCCCTTCCTCTCAGCAAAGATAAATTACAAAAAGGAACATAACCCTGTAGCAACATGTCCGTTACTAAGAATTGGCTATCTATGGTATTGTCACTATTTTTTTTTTTATTTCGAATATTAAAAGTAATAGGCTGCACGCATCAACTGACCTAGCAAACTTTTTTGCTCCACTTAACATTTTACTGATTAACAAACGATTCAAGAAATCGGGGGTGTTTCGCATTTAAAAATAGTATATCCATGCTGCCAAGTGATATAGAGCTAGCTGATTTTCCTAAACTGAATAGGTACAGGTAAGACATAAGACATATAATCCTGTCCCAAGGAGATCACTTTAATGCACTTGGTCTATTGATCACCCTGAATGAAACCCTTAAAACAATTTAGAGCATGCCCGTACACTTACTTTGCAATAAGAGCTAAAGCGGAATCTAAAAAGAAATACGGGCTATGTTTGGAGAGTTGAAAAATATAGATTTGTAATCTTAAATATCCACAAGCACTCTTTACCCAAAATATTGTAAAGAACCAACAATAATCTTCTTTAAAAAAAAATGAATTTTCTGGTGTTTGTTAAGTTTACAATATGCAATAAACAGCTGTACTATCAGATTGGAATATGACAAATGAATTCTTTAAATAAGTCCCATAATTCAACAGCCAAAACAATTGGGAATAATTCATGAGGGTAATATTGCCTTCTTTTTTTTCTTTTTTTTTTTGCAAGATCCATATAATTTCCTATATTCTTTTTTTTTTATTATTATTATTTTTAACAAACAATAACCATTACCCAAGAATCAGCTGTGGAGATGCATGTGTTTTGATGTAACCTTTATACATGGTATATGTTCAAATAACCACCGTATTAAGATACAAACTGTTTGTTTAAATTTCTTTGCAAATGTAGCTTTATTTTTCTCCAATTTCTCAGGTAGCAACATATTGGATTTTCCATTACCACTTGTCAAATTCAATTTAAGAAATACTAGCTTTGTAGATGCCCACGAAGTCTTTTAATCCAACACAAGTAATTCAGAGAAAATGTCCATTGACTTTACCAATCCATTATAAGACCAAAGAAAGATCTTCAAAAGTTAGCAAAAGAACTGGACAACCCAAGTGAAAACCTTATCATATAATACGAGACTTTCTCAGTGAAAGCCCAGTAGTTCATGATCCTCTTTGTGACTGGGTATACACACCAAGCTGAGATACTCAGATGGTATAAAAGATCTTGCACCCTGATGTTGTAAATCAAATCCATGCTTAATTCTGAAACCGAATGTCATTAATAATGACATAATTGCTTAGGAATAAATATTTAAGGACATTTGGGATAATAGGGGTTAAAAAAAAAAAACAAAACAAAACATAACTACATTACTTAAGGAATAATGTCAATTATCTGGGCTTTGCAAATTGTTCCCACACTCTAAACAAATGCATTGGAATATGCAGTTTTCAAGCTTGCATAGCCCTTCCCTATTATATGGCTAGCAAATTTCTATGGAGATTTGCTTCTTTCTCTTTTTTTTTTTTTTTTTGAAAGCCTTAGTCTAAACCTTGATCAGAAGGGGGAGATGGAAAGACCTGTAGTTTCCTCTCTATATCCCTGTGTTTAAATGCCTGAAGCACAAATTACACACTAACCATTTCCGCAGACATACCCTTAAACTTGTCTATATATCCTAACTTGTTTATCAAAAGTTTGTCAAGGTTTACTTCTAGATGATGCCAAATCATGACTTGTCTCTGCATGATTTACACAAAACTGTGTTTCATTTGGGAATTTTCTAGTATAGACAGAAATCAAATGCATAGATTGCTGTTTTCCACTGAAATATAGTATTGATTGTTTGATCTGTATTTCTGGGTGCTACTGAAATGTTAGAGTTAAAATCAATGTGTACCCATTATTTTGGTGGTAGGCACAAGGCTGACAAAAGGTGGTGCTCCAAGGTCAATATATTGCTCTTCCTAAGTCTTTTGTTAAAGCATTTATGGAATCAGTGCTAAAATAAAAATTGATCCCTGAAGAAGAAATATTAAATGGTACCAGTTTTAGTCCCAGGTTTTTGTTTGTTTGTTTGTTTGTTTTTTGTTTTTTTTGTTGTTGTTTTTTTTTTTTTATAAACCATGCCAATTTCTTTGTGTTAAATCATAAACAAGTCCACCGTAATGAAATTTACAATTGAAAATGCAATGTTGGTTAATGATTAGAAGCTTTAACCAAAATATATGCTACAAGCTCTCGATTCATTCAATATAGTTATTATCATTGTGTATATATATATATATATAGGTCTGCAAATTATTGTACTCGTACACAAGCAATACATCTGCCTAACTTGACAGGGCTAAGCTAGCTATGTATATCAAACCATACAGGATATGTCAAATGAATTGCCTAAACATACATGACAAAACTAGGCTATCCCAACCTATAAGATGTAGTTATAAGCATGTCCAACCATAAGGGATATGTCAAACAAATTGTCTAACTACCACAAGACAAACCTGGTTATCCAAATAAGGCAAACATACACCTGAGGATATGTAGAACATAAGCATGTCCAACCAAGCAGGACATGTCAAGCAGAGTGTCAAACCATACAGGACAAATCTGGTTATCTTACAATACACGATAAAGATATTTGTAAGCATATTTATAATCATACTACATATGTCAAATAAAGTGTTCAACCATACTGAACAACTTCTTTATCCAACCATTCATGATCAATAAATATTAAATAAATATTAACATAACCAACCCTACAGGATATGTCAAATAATTGTCCAACCATACAGGATTAATCCTTGATATATAATTATATATACATACATTCTCTATACAAGCATATCCAAACATACAGGATATGTCAAATAAATTATCCAACCATACAGGATAAACTCAGTTACCAAAGCATAAAGGATATAAAAATTCTGTATCTAAACCTATTCATCCACATAGGTTATGCCAAATAAATTGTCCAACCATGTAAAACAAAACTTGGTTACCAAATCACACGATTAACATATAAATACCCTTATATGAGCATATTCAACCATATAGGATATCTCAAATTAACTGTCCAACTATACAGGACAAACAGGTTACCAAACTGTACCAGATATGTATATGTATATATATTAACCATATACAAGCATGTCCAACCATATAGGATATGGCAAATAATTGTCCAACCATATAGGACAAATTGGTAACCAAACCATACAGGATATATATTGAAGTACAAGCATATCCAACCATATAGGATAGCTAAAAATAATTGTCCAACCATGTAGGACATCTTGGTTACCAAACCATACAGGATATATATATACTGTATACACGCATATCCAACCATACAGGATATGTCAAATTAATTACAACCATACAGGATATAAATATACTGCGTCCAACCATATAGGACAATATGGTAACCAAACCATTCAATATATATACACTGTATACAAGCATATCCAACCATATAGGATAGCTAAAATTAATTGTCCAACCATATAGGACAAGTTGGTTACCAAACCATACAGGATATATATTGCTGTACAAGCATATCCAACCATATAGGATAGCTAAAAATAATGTGTCCAACCATATAGGACATCTTGGTTACCAAACCATACAGGATATATATATACTGTATACACGCATATCCAACCATACAGGATATGTCAAATTAATTACAACCATACAGGATATAAATATACTGCGTCCAACCATATAGGACAATATGGTAACCAAGCCATTCAATATATATACACTGTATACAAGCATATCCAACCATATAGGATAGCTAAAATTAATTGTCCAACCATATAGGACAAATTTGTTACAAAACCATACAGAAATATTTATACATATACATACCGTGCACAAGCCTATCCAACCATATAGGATATATATAGCAAAAATTGTTCAACTATATATGGACTACCTTGGTAACCAAACCATACAGGATATATATACACTGTATACAAGCATATAAAACCATACAGGATTTCTAGAATTAATTAACCAACTTTTTTTTTTTTTTTATTATTATTATTATTATGAGCATGATGTGGCTAATAAATCACTATTGGCATTTCCAAGTTCCAAAAAAAACCCAAGCAAAGCATAAATATACAATATGAATACCTTAATATGCTTCTTTATCTGTGTAATTATGCAACCAACCCAATGGCAAATAATGAAATCAAAATAAGCGACTGACTGTAATAGCTACATGATGAACAACAAAGGCAATTTACTCTAGCTACATGCATTTGCAGTGCTAAATTCTTATCTTATACTGACAATCCACAGGCCTTAGTTCTTTAATGAAACCAAAAACATTATATGCACTTGTAACCTACCCAAACTTGACCATATTACACTAAATTGTTATAAATATAAGTATTGAAGTTATACAATCTGCCTACAAGCTTTAAAGTGCTGAAACAACCGACATCCTGTTACTATTCTAATAGTTTGTGTAACCATGTGCTCATTTTTGGTGCACACCATTTTAACAGTTTACTTTATTCTCATTTTCTGATGACCAAAGTCTTTAGTAATGAAAGAAAAAAAAAAAAATCTTACATCCTAACCATGATAACCAAATTCTCTGCCTGATTTAGCGTTAAAAAGCCTGTTAATACCAACAACACCTTAAAATTGCAGGATTCATGTTCTATTAAGAACCTGTCAGGTTTACTTGGTGGTTTACTATGAAGAATTTGGTATGTTGACATTACACTGTGCACCAAATGACCCCGAATTTTTCTCAGCGAGTAAAACATTCTCAACCCAGTCGTATAACTTAATATCTAGACTACACAAATCATCAGAACCTTATTGTATATACATACTAAATCGGGTTTAATTTTATCAACTTCTGCGAGCCTACCATATCAGTGTAATGCAACCCGAATATCCTCTATACAGAACCTTCTCGCTGAGATATTCAGATAGAAATTGATATTTCACTGTTCTACACAAATCTGCAAACGAACAATAAATCAATATCTTTGAATCAAAACCCTACTCTGCATGAGTGACATAATATAAATACTCACACCTAAGTAAAATTTGTAAACCACATTTTGGAGCCGAAATTTTATTCTGATAAGGATAAGGCTAATAGCCGTTACTAGAGGACGCATAAGTATAAAACCCGGAAAACCCTTCGGGACCCATGATTTCAAACAAATTGGTAATTAATAAAAATATGCAATTTATTACGTATTTAGATCACATAAATTCCTTTATATACATAAATACACATTTGTTTTCATTGTTGCAACTTCATAAAAGGAAGCTGTTTTTCAATGCATATTCATACAGAGATTTATGTCTATTACATGCATCTGGATGACTTTTTTTCATACTAATTGTTCGGCCATTATTTACATAAGGAATTGCTGACAGATTTGTCCATTAAATGTTGATTGTGACAAGAAGCACATTATGTTTCTAATTAGCAGGCGATGTTTACTCCTCTATGTAACCTGATCCTACATCTGATGTTTTAGACGTCTGTGTATGCTTTTCTCCTATTTTGTATTGTTTAGTAGACTTTTGAATACTGTTCGTTATCTCCATACACATGTATTTCATGCTTGTAATAAGCATCTTATTTCTCGTGGATTCCAAAACACTAAATGAGTATTTTAGACCTGAAATAGATAGCCCTTTTCACAAAAATCTAAGT